CAGCTATATTGCCCTGTATTCATTAAGAATTTTGTAATTATTATTAATAAAACATAATATATAATATATACTTAAATAATACATAATCAATTAGGTTTTTATAATAATTACTGAATTGATTGAACTTTACCAAACGAATGTTACGCCTGCACCACAATATAAATATTTATTAGTTATCTTGTAAATATTATGTAAATTGATCTAAAAATTTGAATATTAAACTTATGTGTAAAAAAAATAATTAAAATAAATTATCTATGGAATGAGGAACCGTTAACAAAATGTAGCTAAATGTTAAATCTTAATCACTGTGTTTATAATGTATTGTTTTAAACATTAAATTATTTTTAGGGTAGGAAAAAACGAAACTCTTATAGGATTACTTTGTCGTCCATCCATCCGTCGTTCTGTCAAGACGCATTTCTCAGGAAAGGGTGGAGGTATCAAGCTGAAATTTAAATATTTTATGCTTTTTTTTTGTATTTGATACATTATTTATCCGTTAGAGCTGTGAAAAATCAAACTACTAAAACCAACGAAATCAAAAGATACAGGCGTTTATGCCGCAAATTTCCGAAACTCGCAAGGGACTCAAAACCTGCGGGGTACTTCCCGTGAACTTAGAGTCTTGAAATTTGGTACATTGCTTCATACCGATAAAGGAAAAATTGTGTTACAGTACACATAAAGGAAAAATTACGAAAACCGTAAATTTTTAGTTACATCATAAATAAAAATATTTTTAATAAATACCTACAGGTTTGTACGGAACCCTCGGTGTACGAATCCGACTCGCACTTGACTGGTTTTTTATTAAGTATAACAAAAACTGAGATTGAAGTTCCTTAATTTCTTAATAAATGATATATTAAAAAAATACTTTGTACTCATAAAAAGGAAACAATGCGCAGGGAACAGACTTATTTCAACGAGAATAATCAGTAAGAATAGGAGATGATTAAAAATAAATTCAAATTCGGAACTCTTCGGTAATCTATTTATTGTATGTATATCACATGAATTCATGTTTCACAATTTGGTGGCAATTTCGCGCGCCGAAATGGATTTAACTGAGAAAAATTTCATTTTATGGTTTATTTCCACAGAACACAGAGGTTTATATCAATGGAAACTGCTTCGAAAATTAATCAAAATATAAACAGGTTACTACGTGTTCCAGTTTTTTCGTTATTTTCTATAACGTTGAGTGTGACTCACATTCACTAGTAAATTAAAAACAACACCACTGAATTCTCATCTCTCCACAAATACACTCAGTACTTCTCGAGTGATTTTTGTATATCAAAAAAACAACTTCCTTTAAATTGAGGATTTGAGTAAATTAGAATAAGTGAAACGGTTTGATTTTGTACCTTAACTCTCTTGAAAATTAAGTTCAAAATAAAATTTAACACTATGTTGTTGTGAATTGTGCAAAACCGCTTAGGTTGCTAACTTAGAATATAGAGGTCCAATAACAGTAAAACCTCTTTAATTGATTAATTAACAGAAATGTCAAACAAATGTCAATTTAAATTCAAACAATGTGAATTTTGATTCAAATAATTAAATAATATATTAATAATCGTCAATGTCAGTCCAAATATAAATTAAGTAAGTTACTATAAACAAGATATGATTGTTAAAATTATTATTGAACCTGTAATTGATTTTATAGACTTGTTATTAAGAAATTTTGTGGTCCCATATTTATGTACTTTACCAATTAAAAGTTTAATTAACGGTATCTTATAAAAGAAATTAATAATATTTTACATGTAATTAACCGACACAGAAAGTTTAATTAATTCATATGGTAAATATACCCTAGTTATTATTTTTACCACGAAATAGATACAATGGAACGAAGCCAGCAAAAAAAAACAATTATATTTTATAGCAAAAATCAACTATTTAGTACGGTTTTCTCCCGATGTGAAATATTCCATTTGATATATTAATTTAAAATTTGTATATCGTTTATGACTTTTCATGGAATCTTACGGCATTTATTTTTATATTGACCTTTCTAATTTTGTATCAAAACATGAAGGCTTTTTATCTATGAGAAACGCAAAGCTATGACTTTCATAATTGAATATGTTTATTTAAAGGCCACAATCCACTATCGTGTAGCGACTATGCAGTATAAATATATTTTTTTCTTTGATATATAATCAATTTAATATATGTAATTAGATGTATAAAAAATTGGCGGTCTTATCTCTAAACAGACAGACAACATTGGCTGTTTAAAATATAGAGGGAATATAATTGAATAGCATTGAGAAAAGGAGAGAGAGAGCATATGAGTCTACGTTGCAGATAGTTGAGTGATTTCTACTTGAGTTTCAGGCGTAATTGGAAGACATGATAATGTTTCTGGAGCCTAGAAATGAAACTACAGGCGAAAGATGTCAGTTTTGTCATCCTACTTTCAAGGAAATGGGTTGATTAAGACTTAAGTAACACAAGGTGATGACTGTTTTAAGATTTCATCAATCTAAGTTACTAATGTCTGAAATTGTAAGAGTAACCTGCATTCTAATTTTTTTGCGATGAGATGAAGCTATAAAGTAGAAAGAAATATATTTTAACTTACTTTAATACACTCGCTTGTAGTGTAAAGAGGTCCTAAGATCCAACCAATCGCGTAACAAATACGGCTTATCAAAACAAACCGATTGAAAGGAAGCTGTTTATTCACGCAATATTTGCAGATATCTATTGTAACAGCTTTTAATGTATACTGTAAGTTTTATTTTAATATGTATTTTTGTTTTAACAGACTCACTTATGATAGCGGCTTTGTCTGCATTACCCTTGGAACTGTTATTCGTAACGAAACTTTTGGACACATTGTAATACAATTTGACATAGTTTTTATCGGAAAAGATGCCATAAAATTTAGAGCTACATAAATAGTAAGGGCCAAAACTCTATCTCTGTCTATCTCATTACGACAATGAGACGTACAGAGACAGAGGATAGCGAACAAACGGTTTTTAATGAATTACTTACAAACTAGTACGATCATTGTAAAACTGCTGTGTAACCTCGGTAACAAAGTTACACATTTATCAATTTACCCTATAAAAGGCTTTAATTACAACAAGAAATTGAAAAATATTGTGTATTTTAGAGATAAATTTGTAACTTTTTTTTATTGACAAAATTTTACAAATTGCATCATAAAAGCTTGCCGCGAGGTTTAAGTACCTATCAATATTATATTGAATTGAAATTTTAAAAATTAAATTTAGCAGATTTTACATAATTGAATTGTTTCTAGTTTATTTACACAAGCAAATCGCGCGACAGGCTTTTATGATCATATAAATTGTGTATAATGCGGTTATAAGTTGGTGGTTAATATTTAAAAGGAAAATTTTATTTTCTTCTTTTACAGCGTTTAAAAATGCTTTTTTATTTTTTTTGTTTTTATAATTTTTTACATTTTAGCTATCGCTGGCTAGGTTCCTCAGTCTGTTCATCTCATTCAATGCATCATTGTTGCAAGGTGGTTCGCCGGTTAATTTCTTTTTTTTTAATCATAAGAAACTTCAATAGTGAGCCATATTAGATTTAGAGTGATGTCACATTATTTTTATAATTATTTTCGGCAAGCCCTTTCATTTGATACCCACATTGAAGAAGTAGGTACATAAATAATAACAATACCGCCGTCTTAGATATTCCGCCTTATTTGATTTAGATTGACGTCACATTATTTTCCTAGTTACTCTCAACGAGCCCTTTCATTTGATACCCATATTGTAGAAGTGCATTAAAAATAACTATTCCGCCATCTTAGATGGTCCGCCGTATTGGGTTAAGAATGACGTCACGTTATCATGCATTGTCATCCAAACTAAACGTGTATACAAAATTTCAGGTCAATCGGTTGTAGATATCTACTTCAAAATTGAGTTCAAAGATTCCACCCGAACAAACATACATTGCGAGTTAAATAAAAGCTTTTAAAATAGTATTTAAGGCGTCAACTCTTCAAATGTAATAATCCAATTTTAATATAATTAGTGCGATGTCTTCCTCACAAATCTATGGTAACAGATATATTTATTATTTTGTGATCTGATATATTAGATCATAAGGGGTTGTGCCTTGTCAAAAGGGGTTGTACAACTGCTATTGAATTTCCATAGTTATGCTTACATTATCAGAATTACCCTACAGATATAGATAATTTTCTTATTTCCCGTTTTTCCGATGTTTCTTTGTTCCACTTTGCATACTAACATGATTAACGGAAAGCAGAATCACGATAGCATCTTTTATCAGATATCTACGGTTCCGTAAAATGTTTTTAGTGTTGTTTAAATCATCTTAAATGTGAGGTTAACTCCAACTTTCAAGGCATAGAGCTAACAGAATAACAGAACTAATATCGACGTTATGATTTCGTTATTATGGCTTTGTTTTGATGTTTTACTTTACGCTGTATAGTAGAGGAAGCTGTAGATTGCAAACTATAAGATCAAATTAGACATTAGTTAAAAATAATTTCCAGTATAAAAGTAATGATAATATATATAGTTTAGTTAATATTAGATTGTATTATTTAGAAAAAAAAATATGACCAACACTAAATAACTAACGCGGCAAGTTCAATAAAAGCTTGTATTAAACAATTTGAAATATTTGAAAATATTAATTGCTGCTAATTTACAGTTCAATCTCTTTTTAGTTTCCCGTAGTAAACAAGGAACCCTTATAATTTGGCCATGTCCGTCTGTCCGCGGTTTAAATCAAAAACTATTGGTACTAGAAAAATGTAATTTGGCATGAGTATACACGTTAATTCTATTCCTGGCATTGGGTATTATTTGATACGTTAACTTCCAAAGTTTTTTATCATCTGAAAAAGTAATTTCCACGTTTATTTATAATTATATGTATACGGTAGAAAAAACTCTTCAAAATATATAAAAAATATTATTCTGGTTATGTAACTACTGAATCGTTGGTAGTTCGCATATTCACAAACCGTTCACCTGCGCCTATACAAAGCAAAATAATAAAAATTCAATAATATAATATATTGGCCAAATTAATAACAAAAACGGTTAGTATCTAAAGCGTAATTATATTTTCTTTGAGTGAGTTTAATACAATTACTCTCAACTAAACCTGAGTACCTTAGTCGGTGCACCTTTTTATATGGTAATATTCTGCACACAAGTGTACAACAACTTATATCTCGGAAGTGCCTTTAGTAGGGGTATTAGGCGCACAATTGACATCGAAACCTAAAAGAATAAGAAAAGTATGAGTTCAAGAAAAACCATTAATAAAGCGTCGGGAAAACTCATTAGTAGAAAAACCTTGAGCCAGAAAGTGCAAGAAAAAAAAGAAACTAATATACAACGCAAAACTGGAAGGACATAGAAGACGCAAAAGACCAAAATATGCCTTTTAGGATCATATTATTTCGGTGATATCGAAAGATTATATCAGAAGTCATAAACACTGACGACCAGTGCGCAGGGCCGGACAAAGTGAAAAGAGCTATGTTTGTTAAAGAAACGAAAGACCGTTGTAAGAATGGTCCTTTGTGAGGTTCGATTTTCTTTGTTTACCCCGCAGGGGCTCCGAGTAATAAAATGATAGATATTGAATTAAAATATAGTTTCTTCGATCGATTTAAGAATTTACAGCGAATTTTTAATATTTACTAAAATCAGGCGCTGTCATGTCAAAGTTCATTGCAGTAACTGAAACATTACAATATTTCGCTGATATCTCCTTGACCTTATTGGTTGTTAAGGTACAGTCAAAATTCTCCTGAGGAAGCCCTAGTAGTGATAAAACACGTGAAGAGTAATATTTGACGGTGGTTGAAAAAATTGTTTCCACTTATGAAAGTGAATTTATTGCGAGCAAATATTTAATTATATTTGGCAATTACCATAGCATATACGACTGCTATGGTAATTGCCAAATATAATTATTTTACTGTTACATATTGTTAATGATTAGGTTCAGAAATCATTTGGAGATTGTCAGTATTGTATATATCTGGTAGAAGAAAATAGCCAAATCTTGTACTTACTTCCCATATTTATGCAAAAATAAATATTCTTGATTTCACAGATATCAATAATTAAGATTAGATCTTTGAATGCCTTCATAATAAATCTTGATACACTACTAATATGTTAATATAATCTCGTAGCAATATGCTATTTTTGTTTAAATTTAATTAAAATATAACATTAAAGGTGTCAAATATGTTACATATATTTGCTAATGTCGATTTCCATAGACTTAACAATGTATCGTATACGGTACGTTTAACAAACGTAATAATTGAATATTTAACAATAACGTTATAAATAAATATTTTTTGAGTTTGAATACCTAACTAATATAAATTAACTACTTATTTAATTGATCCACGTAATCGGGTAAGTTGTACATATTTTGTAAATAATGTATTTTGTTCTTAGTTAGTTTACAGGACATAGTTAATATTGTAAATAGATTTATGTTGCCGTACACCTTCACTGCCTCATGTTGATAACTATATAAAAATACGCAATAGCACTTTACCTACAAATTAACTAACTACAATTTAACTACAAATCTGATAGCACAGTCAAGGTGACAACTGATCAACATTCTCGCATCGGCTTCAATCGAATTTCTAGGAAGCAAGTTCCGGACTTGAAGTAGAAAAAAGAATCCCGCTCTACCTTCTTTCTTTCCCTATGCTACTGCTGCTGTCCAGCTATCCCTGACTAGTCTGCCATTTTTGTTTCTGTGTTCGTGTTTTCCTTTCCACATCGTGCACCCACCTCGACCACAATCAAGGACGGTATCGCATCACATTCTCTATAAGTATGATACAGAAAAACAACTCTACGCTTACCTTAACAAGCCTGAGTCTTAAATTCAGTACCTAGCTAAAATGTGTCTAATATAATTCAATTTCCTTTGTTATTGTATATAGTTAGTTTTATAGTTAGCACACACACACACGACTTTACAGCTAACAGTAATTAAAGCCGCGAAACGAAAGCTATTGCCTATACACAAATATTCCTTATGTTGCCACAGCATAATTTTGAAAAGAGGTAAATCTGTGTATAGAAAAATGCAAAAATCACTAACTGTAAATTGAGATAATTTTGAAAATCTTTACTTTCTTTTAACAAGTTTCGATATATTTTTAATCCGTGCATCGATCATGTGTTTAAATGGCTTGATGATCGTGTTATCGACTGTAGAGGAAGACGGTTTATTAAAATAGTAAACTCTTGTTCATCTAGCTAACCTTTGCGAAAAACGCAAAATTAAGTTTTTCAATAACTTTGCAAATATATGACCATAAATATTTTGTAATTTCTTTATCAAACTACTTAATTCTTGTTACAGAATAAAAATATAGTATTTTTCAATTCCATAGTTTATATTCTATTCATAACCCAACCTACGTGATATTTTTTTAATAACATATAATCAATGGTAACCTTAAGAGAATTATTGGGCCCTTAAAATATTGCATCACGACATAGCTCAGTCAATGGGCAGTTTATTAAAAATAATTGTTTTTGTCTCGAGGCGATAAGGGCTTAGGGAGTATAATTGCAGTTTATAACGAATTCACGATAAAATAATGCTTTATGATTAATCGACATTATGCCCTTAAGCCTTCAACAAAGTAATGTACGAAATATTAAAGATATTGTATTAGAAAATTGTTGTGCATAGATTGCACGTTGTGAAATATTAAAGCAATTAAACTCTATCGACAGTATAGTAAAGGTTAATTATTATTCTTGTAGTTATATCATATTACCTTATATAATTTTTTAATACGTTTATTTGATGTAAAGAAATAATTCCAAAATAATATTTGTGTATTTAAAAGTTAGAAGAATATTTAAACATAAAACTTACTAGTAATGACATTTCAGTGTTCTTCGGCATCATAGTGACGTCACCGGGGCGCACTCCAGGCCCGCAGTAGGGCAAGGAAGGGCCCCGATTGGGGACCCGCGGGGCGTCATGTAAGGTAAGCAGAGCGGCATGTAAGCGAGCCCGTGCCGCACTTATGCCTCCCGCGCCACGCACCGCGGCCTCCACGACGTCTCCGACGTCTTTCTCCCATCTGTCATGAATTCACTTCAATTATACTTTTTATAAGCACTTTCGATCAATAGTTACCTCGTTTCTGTGGAGCATAAGCAATACCAAAAAAAAAACATTTCTACAGACTCAAGTCCTAAGCAATATCAAATCAATGTTTAGACAAAATCAGATTTTTAATTCATTCATATACATTTCACGTAAACTTTAAAATCAATAGAATATAATATGTAAAAGAAAGAAATAGTATATGAAGAAATATATTATTTTTACGTTTTTTTTAGTCTGAATAAGAAAAATTATTGTATTATTTATCAGCTCTTCTTTTTTCATTTCATGTCTTTAATTTACATAGGTTAAAATTAAAATATTTAATCAAGTACTTTGCATTTTAAATTAGTGTTAACCTGCATCCTCCAAGACACGACCTGATATCCTCCTTCAGACTTCTCGACAGCGTACACACTGGACTGTCCGAATCGGACGTGGTATTGGAACCATCGGATTTGTCCGGCCCTGCGCACAATTGACCGGACAGGTGTACTGGCTCTGGGAACGGCTCGCTCTTTGGTAAAGACGGCGAGACTCGCCCATGGCTGCCTGCAGCGCTGCCATAACCTTGGATCCATGAAAGTAGTAAAAAAATTACTAATCATCTGATGAGAACTGATCTTAGATGCCTGTGTTGTACAAAATCTACATCCTCATATTATTCTTAAACTGAATACGGTAATGCTACTGATGTGCTAGTAGACCACAGAATTACAGAAGTTTCATGTGACAGCTAATATCTTCCACTTTAATCATTAATAAAAAGAGTCGTAACGCATATCACTCTCTTAAACTCTTGATACTTATGAAGTTCGATGAGAATATTAGAATATGTGCCCAATTTTTTTTACACTCATTTTGTTTGAAATTTGCATGAGAATTATAATTTCGTGAAAAGTTTATCCCAACTACAACGTTCATTCAACAGCTTTATTTTCATCTTGTGTCCAACCGAAACTTCGGTTTCGGATTCGGGCGAGTATAGAAATCCCAAAAAATCGGGAAGCCAAAAAAAACAAACCTGCATTTGGAAGTTCTCGCACACTGAGCAGTTGGTTTTGTTTGTTGTGAGCTTTGGGGGTTTATTGTGAGATTTGTTTTGAATTCGTTAAGTTTTGTTGCATGATATAGCAGAGAGTAGGTAATAAACATCAAAAAATAATTCTATATAAGAAACCAATGCACACTAATATTATAAATTTAAAAGTGTGTTTGTTTGTCCGTCTTTCACGATAAAATGTAAAAGTTTGTATGGGGAATTTTGCAATTTTGAGATTTGAGATAACAACTTTTTTCGGCCACCCATCTTATCACCGGCTTCATCTTTATGGATGTAAAACTAAATGTGACAAATATGGTATTTCGTACCTGACGACGTAGATGGTGCTCTTCGCGGCATGCGTGGTGCTTCTTGTCCATCACCCTCGGTGGAGTCATCTAAGGAGTCCACTATTATCACTACCTCCTGCTCTTCCTCTTCTGTGTACAGTGGATTTGATCTGGACACGACAGAGTAATGGTAAATACAAAAGTGAATTATTGTGGACGTTATTCTAATATGTATCTAAAGATGAACGTCCAGTTTGTAGGCATGCACGCAACGCACGCACGGTACGCAACGGGTTTTTTATAGCTTGTGTATGAATTTGTATAGTATTCCATCCAATATCGGTACCGGCCGGTTCATTTTATTAGGTACGTAATTTCATAGGATATACGAATACTAGATGTATTATAAAGGTGGGCGATTTGTTTTTGGGTTCCGTATTTCGAAGGATTAAACGGATAAATAAATAAATATTAAACAACATCATATACAATTGTTCAGATTCCAAGATGAGTAAGTACCTAAAGCCCCCGTATTATGGAGTATCTGAGACAATGATGGTACCACAACACCCAGACGCGAGACGCATTTTTCGACTGGGAATCGAACCCGGGACCTCTGAGATGCGACACCTTGAAACCGGCATGCGAACCACTTTGTTGTCCGTCCATCTGTCAAGACCTATTTCTCAAGCAGGCGTGGAGCTATCAAGCTGAAATGTATATTAAATACTCAGGGCTACTGTCCCGTAGAGCTGTGAGAAAAGCAAACTCCTAACCAACGCAATCAAAAGATACAGCGGTTATGCCACAATTTTAGAAATTCGAAAAATTACGAATAAAATCTTAAAGTTTGATACAGAGTAATGTCATATAGCACATTAAATTACGAATAGCGCAAATTTTTAGTAACATCATATAATAAAAATATATTTTAATAAATACCTACAGATTTGTACCGAGGACTCCGTGTGCGAATCTGACTCGCAGTAGGCCGGTTTTTTGTTTTGTAATAGAAAAACATAAAAACTACTGAACTTAATTTAAAAATTCTTTCATTGTAATATAGGCTAAGTAGGTAGGTATATATAATTTATAAGTACCACAAAATTTGCTGTCGGCGGAAACTCGTGGATTAAAGAATATGAAATTTTTTTGTTGATTTCTTGGACAATGTTTTGCTCCATAGCGAGTGTTTTATAACAAAATTAAAAAAGGAAAATATTGATAACCGTGTGTATGTATTATTGGCACGTAAATGTGATTGTGATCTTATTGGAATACTTCACATACATATATTGCTCAGGTCCCAATATTAAATTTACAATTACAATTTTACAATATTAAACGGTTCTGTCATAAAACAGGTCAGCAAGTTCAAATATTTAGGTCACATAATAAGAGATGATTTAAGTGATGATGATGATATGGAACGTCAGAAAAGAAGTATTGCTGTTAAAAGTAACATGCTGGCTCGTAGATTTTCTAAATGCAGTAAAGCCGTGAAAGTCACTCTTTTTAGTGCCTACTGTCAGGCGTTTTACACCAGCCAGCTGTGGACAAATTTCACGCAACGCGCCTATCATGCGTTGCGTGTGCAATATAATAACGCTTTCAGAGCAATGATGAACCTGCCATGGCGGTGTAGCGCGTCCGGCATGTTCTTCGACAATAGGGTTGATGATTTTTTTGCAATTATGAGAAAAAGGGCTGCCGCTTTCAAAGACAGAATCAGAAATACCAATAATAAAATCTTACTATCAATCTATGACTCATGTAAAATGATTATATGTGATTTATGAGCGATTCTATAGAATGTATTAATTTAATGTTTTATTTATGTTGTTTTTAATTTGATTTAAAAAAAATTTTTAATATGATCTTTAATTAATCTTCGCGGTATTTAGATATGACGATGATTTAATGTATTTTAGATAATTGTAATGAATTCACTTATTATTATTATTATTATTTGTTTATATTTTTGATTTTAAAATTTATTGCATGTTTTAATTTTCAATTTTATTTATTTGTATAAACTAAATTTTGATTTGTGTATATGAGTGTTAATGCTTGTAATAAATGGAATTATTATTATTTTTATTATTATTATTATATTAACTACTAAAATATTTGTATTTAAGTTCACGTTTCGGCGGTGACAGTACTCTTGGTAATATTGTGTAGTTTTCTCATTTTTAATTACATATAGCTTATTTGAGAATTAGCGGTTTTAAGTATTTAATTCATAACAACCTTAAAATGTGATCTGTTTGTGTAATTTATAGGTAGCGATTGTTGTTGTGGTAGGACCAACTGGCCCTTCAATGAAGTATATGGAAAAGGTAGAGATCTCCATAAAGCACGCGGAGGTGCAACTCGGGTGGAAACACAGCGCTATAATATGTGAGATGATTTTAACAAAGTTATAAGGACGATTCAAAATTTTCATGTTAATTCGTGCGAGTTATACCAACTTTGTTATCTATTTAACAGAAGCTACTAAAAAGTATCTATACCTGAGTAAGGGGGGCGGCATATGATCGAGGGCTCGCAGGGGGTGAGGCGAGGGCGCAGGCGCGGGCAGGGCGCGCCGGCCGCCGCAAGCGCACCCCGCCGCCGCGTCGCACTCTCGTCTCGCGCCACCCTGGAAATCAACATCTCTTTAACATCATCATCATCAGCCCCTTTATGTCCCCACTTTAGGGGCTCAGGTCTTTCTTATGGTTTAGGAGGAAGCCTTGACTCTCCACGCTGGCCCAATGCGGATTGAAGGCAAACGCAGCATGGATGTGCCTTCCGAAACACGAAGTAGCTCGAGATAATAATTTTTTGGTCACCCATTCCGTGACCGACCCTTGCAAATGTACAACAACGATGTTATCAATAAATGTGTTTCTATTCCATTAAAGGTAATATTCTTGTTTTATTATTTACATAATTTCGATGGTTTTGATCGTTGTAGTTTTCGGAATTATCTCATATGGTTCCTTAGAGGAAACGAGCAAAACTAAATCACTCAACACAAATATTTATTTCATTCTAATTTTAGTATTTTTCTTTGAAGCGGCAACAGAAATACATCATCTGTAAAAATTTCAACTGTCTAACTTGCACGGTTCACAAGATACAGCGTGGTGATAATTCGCTGTCTGTCTTAGTAATTTCCTGACTTAAGATTCCTATTTTACCCTTTGGGTACGGAAACCTAAAAATTAGACAAAGTTATTTCTAACATTGAAATACACTTAAATGTATAATTAACAGCCAGTTGCATAACATTCCATTAAATTTTTCAATAGTTTTAAGCGACATTTCCCATACAAATTTGACTTTCATAGAGCTTAAAAACGTCATTAAACCTTCATGGACGTTTATGCAACTGACCGTATAAATGAAATTAATTATAAATATTTTGTTATAAAATACAAACATAGTCATTGATAAAATTATTAAAATGTCTTTATAGCTATTGTTCGAGATACAGGTGGTCGCTCCCCTGAGCAATATATGTAATGGTGTATTCTTAAATTAATTGATGTTAGTCTCGTGAAGAATTTCAAACATGCCATTTGAAAAATTAGTCGTCTAAATGGTTACAGACTGACTGGTCGAGGAATGTGACTGAGTTGCAAGACACGTCTGCTAGTTCGGGCCTTATTTACCTCTATCCCAGGTTGCGAAACACATGATTGGCGGCTGCTAAGTAGCTACATTATATTATAATTACATCCAAATATAAGATAGATAAATGAATAGATTCTAAACGATTACAATTTGCGCCAACGAAAATTGTCTTGTTTATCAAGTAACTTGCCATTATTTCTTATTCTAATATAATTCATGTAAAGTTATTCAATTACCTTACACTTTAGAAATGATTCAATTTGGATAAAACTTAAAACAAAAATATATTTGTTTTGGTAACGAGAAAATGTTACAGTGATCTATTGCATGCATGCTATCGAAAAATTGCTTATGCATTTGCTTAATACCACATTCAAACATTTCAGTCACTATTTTGGAGTATAAACAGATATTTATTTTCAAGTCGAGTAGATAAAGTAACCATTTACAATGTTACTTATAAACAAGGTTTAGCGTCAGAGTAAATTTACGCTAAAATTGCAATTTTAGTATTAGTCCATATTCATATAACACAGAGAATAAGCAAATCTACTACCTTCTAGGAGTAAATATTACTCTCGTAGAACTTCGTACTAGGTTAACCTTTGTTAAGTCTCTGTTTAATAATATAAATTTTGACTAATACAAAGAGCAGTCTCGGCGTAAATTTACTCCAACGCTAAACCTTGTTTATAAGTAGCACTATAATACGGCAACTACACGCGCCTTTACAAGTCTTTGACAAACCTATTTGGTTGAAAGACGCGCTTCAAGTAGCATTTTTTTTATATTGACCGATGAGCAGCTTGTAAGGAAATAGAAAGAGGTGTTATTTATATTGTCATTCTCTCAACTCCAATTCCAGATTTGTTTGTTTTTACAAAACTTTCCTGTTCTGTACTTAGCAACATATTTAGAGTTTGGTCAAATCTGACGAGAGATCCGTCAACTTGCGCAACGAAACTATGCATTAATAAATGCAAGCTTGAATGCCAACTATACTATTATAATGTTATTTGAGGAAAGATTTTATGGTTTATTTGTATTGGATAATCAGAACAGGACAGATTTAAAACAAAATTATCTAAGGAAGCTACGTCATACGGGGGTGACAAGGCATATATCTGTTCTAGCTTTCCGTCTTCTATCTGATGTTAACCGACCCTTAGCGATCATCAAGCAGAATTTAAACACTACGTTATTTAAGTTGTCGAAGATTTTCGCAACCGCATTGAGTGAATCGGGTTCAGAGTTAATAATTTTTCCCAATTCCATTTAAACACATATAGCAACAAATTCACTCTTTACAATATGAATTTATTTAAATCCAGTCCATTTTATTCACTATGAGTTAATGGTTATCATTTGAATATCTAACATGAAGGAGCATCTTCAAATTATCACAATCACTTTGTACCAAGGTCCATAGTGAAGCAACAGTTGATAGCCGCAATTAAACATATACCGTCTAGTTACATAAACATCAACAAAGGCTTTGTTTCCACCGTATAACTCTACTACTGATCGTATCTATACTGATTTGAATAATAAATCGACATCACTTTAGTTCATGACTGTACATGATACTGATGGTAACTTCGTACGTGCAAATCTCAAAAGGTGTATTACATTAACTTACAAGCGAAACGTATTACTAAGACGATTCATATTCAGCCCAGAATATATTATAACTAACTAATGTTCAGCCCAAAAGATGTCATCATCATCAACCCTTTTACGTCCCCACTGCAGGGGCTCAGGCCTTCTTTATGGAGGGTTAAGGAGGATGGGCCATGATCCTCCACGCTGGCCCAATGCCAATTGGAGGGTATTAACGACTGCAAATGCAGCCGGGAGCAACGGCTTAACGTGCCTTCCGAAGCACGGAGTAGCTCGAGCTAATAATTTTTTGGTCCCATCCCGTGACTGACCCTTGCGAAAGTTGCTTGACGAAAGTTGCAACGATCGCGGGCCGCGGCGCTTATCCACTACGCCACCGAGCTACTCCCTTTTGTGCCAAAAGATGTTAAATTTAAAAATTCAGAAAGCCAGGGACATAGTAGATTTCTGACACAACTAGACTTAAAAGTGTAACTCTTATTCTGGCGACGACTCGCAATTCTCGCAAAGGCTACAGTTTCAAGAAGAACTACTTTACATATCATATATGACGACTAACCAACATATCTTACGACTAAACAATAGGCTAGTCGACAACTTTCTTTATTATGTAAATAAATAGTCCATTAATATCTGAGAAATAATGTAGAAGTAAAAGCATGTCTGCATGGTGATATGGTGCTATGTTTGTGACACCGCTGCCAGTCGGCCGAAAACACTCCTTACAAATTCAATGCACTAAGTAACGTCACACGGTGCTACGGTAATAAAAAACATATGGGTGTCTAGTTAATTTTTGTAATATCTTTGTTATTTGTGCATTTATGTCTATAGCTGTTATAATGAAAGTATTATAATGCTGTAACGTTTAATATAACTAATTTAATGCTATAAATATGTTAGCAAATGTCCAACAATCCTATTAATATTATAAATGTGAAAGTTTCTTTGTTTGGATGTTTAGATGTTTGGATGTTTGGATGTTTGTACGTCAATCACACCGAAACTTCTGAACGGAATTTGATGAAATTTGGTATACAGATAGGGTGTTAGCTGACTTAGATAATAGGATACTTTTTATCCCACTAAACATTTCCCTAAGGTCCACGCGGGCGAAGCCGCTGGCGAAAGCTAGTATAATATAAATCCTATAATATATACCTATTCATCATCAGCCCTGTTACGTCCCTACTACAGGGGCTCAGGCCTTCCTTGTGGATGGTTAGGGAAGATGGGCCATAACCCTCCACACTGGCTCAATGCGGAATGGAGGGTATTAACGACTACAAATGTTACCTGGCCCAACGTCTTAACGTGCCATCCGAAGCTTGGAGTAGCTCGAGTTACTTAACAATTACGTTTGAGGACCGCGGCGTTTATCCACTAAGCCACCGAGCTACCCTAATTAATTATATATGAATATTCTTTATTGGATAGATTAAACAAATATCAAAAATGTATATAATAAATCTTGTATCATTGGCTAAAGTTGTTATAATAAAGAACGATTTAATTGTTAAATTGTTTGTTTGCATTGACGCAAAGACAACATTAAAATCGGAATTATTACTTCTTTTTCTACCCTGAAGGAGAATTCAATTAAGCAAACAAGGGTAAAAAAATACCGTAATATTCTATAAATTGGACAATAAAATGCATTGTCTTTGAAAAACATGGTTTTCACTGTTAATAGAAAAAGATATCGGCAATTTTATAGCAATACATATAAATATAGCAGAAATATAACTAACCATAAAACACTTGAAAAACTGGTATATTTGACAAGTTAGACGTTTTTTTGTCTAATTTACAAGATATATAGAACGTGACGAAATGGGTGATGAACATCAAGATCACTTCCTATAGTAATAGTTGTGAATTACTTAGGATCCTCTACTTAATATGTATCTAGTATTTAATCTAGCATTTAAGGCCGCCTTTATAAAATTAGATAAATAGCATTCATTAACGTCTAAATAGAAATACTATATGCGTTAAGATGTAACTAATCCTTATGTACCTAAGGATTAGTTACATCTTAACGCAAATAGTAGATTATAACGAAATAGAGTTATAATATAATGAGTTTTTAACTCCACGTGTAACTTTACACTTCAATAGTGAAAAAATGTAATTATTGTTATTTATTAGAAAAAAAATTAAATTCCTTATTTTCTTCGTTATGTCGAGGCTTTAAATAAAGGCATTTCACGTTAGTGTGGGCCCATCATTAACCAAAAAATATTAGGTTCATACATATGATATTGGTGTTTGGTATGGGAGGAACAAAAA